AGATTTGACTCACTAAGTGCAGGCTGGACATCTGGATAGACTGGCGAGAACTCGTACACCTGATTGCTCTCAAACTCGGTGTCTACATTAGGGAAACGAAGGACGGTCTTCGTCGTCTGGTTCACTAAGCGCATCTAAAATAAATAATTCTAGTAGTAGTCACTTGACAATTCGGCTTTGAAAAAAGCAGAGATAGGTTCAAGGTCCATGAGGCTTCGATGACTTGAAGAAAATTTTACGGTACTCGAGGTCTACGCAAGAACAGGTCGGATGAGATTGAACCCTTCGGAGCAGTCGATCTATAGCGCTTTCATGGGCAAACACTTGTGAGAATGGGCACTTGGACTCTGAGCGTTCCTACTGTACGAATAGCTCTAAACCTGCAGGAACAAGTGGGCAAATATCTCGTGTTTTTCATTACCCTGTAAGTTCTATAATGGAACAGAAAAAGTTTCGCTGTTTTTACCGCTAGATCGGTGGCATAAAGGCATATCCCTTCATCATCCTGGTGAAACTGTGCTCTCCAAGAGTAAGGTAGACCTGTTAACAAGAGCAAAGGTTATAGCGATTACAAAACTTCAAAAGTGCACGACATGGGTGTTAAGGGATCATAGCGTGACCTAGGAGAATCTAAAGGGTCAGTGTACTTCTGGAACGCACATGACTGACGAGTGTTGATGTCTGCGTCTCGCTCGGCTCTTTGTTCACTACTATCAGTGTTACCCTCATCAACGCTAACGCTCTCTCACCGAAACGGCTAGAGACAGACGGCGACGATTACCTATCGGCGAGCGTGCGAGCGACCCTGGTACGGCCATGCTAGGCCGCTGCGGACATACCCCGACGCTGAGAAACGTTTCGGGTCTAACTGTCTTTCGATGCCCTCTTCTTCGATCTTATCGTAAAATCTTCCTTCAACAGTTTGCACGTTCCAAAAAAGCCAAGAGATTTGTCCAATCTCCGCCTTCGGTCCGACTCCATTCCTAACGCTGCGCCAAGGGAGTACGCATACAGTATAAGAACAGTACCTTCTTGATGTAAAACCTCTCGTTGTCGTCAATGTCTCCCACACCAACCCTGAGCTTTTGCAGACTGTCGAGACTCGATCCTTTTATTCTAAATAGCGTTGCATTACTACAATATTTTTTATCGTCAGTTGTAGTAAACAGATTTAACAGAAAAGTTATCATTTTGGCACATTTGCTTTTGTTCATATTCCATACGTAGTATATCAAATTGAATGGAAACACTGGTCCCTGTGGAATTGAAATTTGAAATTTTGAACGCAGCTCTGAAACTCGAATTACATGCGTCGTCGATAGGTGAATAATCGGTCGAGGAAATCTCTCGATCAATGGGCTCAGTCTGACAACTGTGCAGCTCAGAATCAATGGTGCCGTTGAGAAGGAATTGAACAACGGGACGCGCAGAGACGCATTAGACGGCTGCATTGGATGAGAGTGCACGGTGTTTGCGGAAAGTGCGTGATCGTCGAACGATTTCGATCGATTTTCGCCCGTTTCCTTGCACCGAATGCTGCCGCCAAGAAAGCCAATCGTTTTTTGGCTTAGTTCAGATTTTCGTCTGAAAATCATAAATTTACCTCATAAGTGTATTGTTCATCAGCGGACGCATCTGCTCGAAATTCCATAGGATAGAAGTCGTGTCCAGAGCATATGGAAACCTCAGGAGTGATCTCTGGCTTTCCCTGAAATCGTTTCGATCAGCTTGGAAGAACTCGTACCTTCTAATATCACCCTCCTCAACTCACCATTACAGACATCTCCAGCAACCAATCGGAAGTATCTGCGTTGAATTTGTGCTTTTTGTTTCGCGTCGTAAGTCCTTCCATGTCTAGAAATGACTGATTAACTGTAGGATCATGCAAGTGACGCCGCTACCATGAAAATATTCAGTCCAAAATACAACTTGCGTTCTACGTGCAAGGCTTGATTCGTTAGAGGTTGGCATCTGATTGGTTTTGGAGGATGAAAGCACTTCCTATTTATATGGCCCGAGTGGCCCCATTTCAAAAATTAACGTCACACCCCGGTCACTCGCGATCGAGTTGGTATGGTTACTTTGCTCGAAAATGGAAGCAGCGAAGACCCCGAGATTAGAGGCCTTTTCTTCTTGAGCTGTGGAGAAGTTCCAGAGGACAGGTAATGAGATAGGAGAGACGGCGGGCTGAGGTGTGGGAAAAGAACTTAGTGACGAGAGAGCAAAGATATGAGCGAAAGTGCATTGGCCTAGGACGTGAACTTGTGGACGGAACGCAGGATGTTGCGTGTAACCCCGTAGGGAACCTAACGCCTTGGCGCCTTTGTTCGGCAGTGTTGTGCCGCGGGGTCAGCACAAATCGTAAGCTCGCCGATCCCTCTACCTTTTCTGAGCTAAGGGTTCACTCCACTGCCTAATTTGGGAAGTGCCCCGAAAAACACCTTCTAATGCTTCCACGAGCGTGGCGCCAACTGGTAGACTGAGTAGTTCAGAGTCCAAGACAAAGTTTATATGCAACCAATCATTTTTATGAACCTTTCAAACACAGCCGAAAGCATAAACGCTATTTCTAGGGCGAATGGCAACTCATAGGATTATGGTACCCCTTTTTGCGAGATTAAATGCACGCTCAGCGACCAGCCTGCTGGACAACCCCTACGGTGGTTAGGATTGAGTTGTTCACGAAGATCAGAGACCCACTGTTTTACGGCTTGAAAGTGGGTCTTAGGGCCTTGCCAGTGATCCCAGTTCAATGCTCATGCGTCTGCGCCCTCTCGTACAACGTGCTTTCTCGCATATTGCCTCTCGTTGACGCACTGTATCTCCTCCCCGTACCACAGTGTAGACCTCATAAAATAAGGAGCCTCAACTTGAGCGTTTCGGATGGCTTCTTCAAGCGTTTTGGATAGCTTCTTCGGTACATTTCTTCACTTGCAATATGATTTGCACACCTACTCTTCCTGTTGAGCGGAATAATCAGAAATTTCGATCGTAGAGGGTGCCTTCCAGGGCGAGAAAAACGGCTCACCTGTAAACCTTCAGAACTTTGAAGTAGTTTTTATTCTCGTCGAGTTCACGGATTTTGCTCTCCTTCAGTAAATACCGATATGGACAATGAGTAGATTCTCGCACAAAGGCCGAGACAGCAAGAATCTGAATTGTGATGTCATTAAAATTTATAATTTCATAATATCTCAATATGGTTGAACATAAGATAAGACCACATTGCCCAAATCGCCAGGATGATGGTTATCGCGACTCAAGTGTGTTTCTGGTGATTCGTGTTCCAACAATGGAGAAACAAAAGAAAATGCAGAGTCACAAGATGCTTAAACAAGGCTCCTTCTTTGAAGCTGGCCCTATGGCTTCGCACTAGCAACGAGATTGTGTGCTTCACGACCGCAAGGAGGCTAACGACGAGGGTAGTAGGGATGGAGATTTATGAGACGCAGACACTAGGATCGATTTTTAAGCGAGAGCTTAACTTGTGTGAATCGGATCAATAAATGGCTCTGATACGTGAAGGCACGGGACGGATTGTCACTTTCAGCACGAGCGTTGTAGACAGGTGTACAGCGCATTTTTGCGGCTTAAAAATGCTCTGGCAAAGGTGCAGGAAGCTCGCGGGACTCGCAACCCACACCCTTGTCTGCAAGCCCCGCCCTCCGCTGTCGGGTGCCACGTGATGCTGCGAGAAAGGCGGTGGGCGCTTCCGGCAGAGCACTGCGGTCAATTTATTGGTACTTGGAGCAACGCAGATTTCGTGAAACTGCTCATCCATAGTGGAGTGAGGCTGAATAGAGGGGTCTTAATTAGGGGCTATCGGAGGTGTCTCTTGCTTTCTTTCTTGCTCTTCCAGACCGTTCCACTCCGCTTTATAATGAACGCTTTTCCACACGCTATAGTGCCGGTTATCTTGCTTTTGAAGAACGGACGGTTGGTTTGTGGGAGTGCTAACAGCCCTCGCGTTTATGTACCTCTACTCGACCTCTGCCATCACGTTGCTCTACCTCCTCCTCCTATAGGCTATATCATGGGCAGTTTGCAAGAACTCAGAAAATTATGTGAGCAGTACAAGTGGATCAACGTACATCTCCAGCGGTTTCCACACTACCAACGTGCTTATCCCAGATGTCCTGTAGTACTGAGAAACCTTCGAGAATGGCTTGACCTGAAAAATAAAATGCGTTATATTGAAGCTTATATCAGTAACGGACTATAAAAGTGAGTAGAATATTTGAATAATTTAGGTGCATTGGAATTTATTCTATAAGAAACCTTTCTCAGAGAAATCACCAATTATTTTGATGCTGTTGATACGTCCGAGATGAACGCATTCGACCTTGAACGAGTACTCCTGAAATCACGTGAAATGGAAAACAGTTCTCCGGTATTGGTTAAGTAAATCATGTCTCTTTTGCATAATTAACTGGCAGGATTTATGCGCATTGTTTACGTGTATATTGAACCCATTGGATATGGGTTGAGAGTAGGTTCAATTTTGGCTATAGGTATAGGTCGTCACAAACTTTGGTAAGTAATGTTGAGGCTAAGTAATTTTTCTAATTTTTATTTTTTGCTTTGACACTTCTGAAGATTTTTGCTCCAGGCGCTCCAGCAAGGTACTCCCTCAGCTAAACTCATTAGGTCCCGCAGGAGACAGACGCGCTGACCTGACAGATACATTCCAATAGGTACGTATAGTTACGGCAATGATTAGTTAGGTCAGTGGAGTGAAGCTTTGGAGCAGGAAAGGTAGAGGGCAAGCATAAGGGTCGACCAAATTGTGCCACGAAACTCCCATACAAAGGCGTTAAGGCGTTACGTTGCACGTGGAATTCCACTCCCCATCAGCACTGTGGGTTGTGTCCACGAATTGACATCACACAAAAATATGCTCTAGCTCTCATCCATGACCTCTCGTGATTCTTTTTCCTCCGCTGCACTCAGGATCTCTTATCTTGCTGCTTGTCTTACACAACCCTCCACAGTTTGCAGAGAAAGGTCCTTTTTCTTCAATAGGACACCTTTTTTAGGTCTTTCGGTGGCTTCTTTTCCTTTTTTCTCATTACCGGTCCAGTTCTCAATTTTGCTTTCATCTTCGAGCAAAATAGCCATACCAGCTTCAGCCTGGTCGTGGACTGCGCCTTTTATCAACAACAGAGAATCTCGTTAACGCCCCTCTTGGCTCAGAGAGATGGGTGTGAATGGCTGGATTTTTTGTAGCCTAACCTTGAACGAATTTGTACTGTTACACTAATTTTGGTAATATTGTCGACCCGACCATATCCTGATCATTCTCCAGAAGTGCACGACTCCTTACGAGGGTGACTGTTGTTGTGACTTTTGGAAGGGGTCGTAGTCGATAATATGGGCACGTATTTTTGGATGGGTCGGATGATGAGTGCTAAGAAGTTTGCAAGTAGTAAGTAAAATTATTTTGTAGAATTGGGGGAAGTTTCATAGGCTCCGTCATTCTTGGCACCCTTATGTAGAAGGAGGGAGAAAAGTTTCGACCCACAACTAGGATCAACTGTCCGTTGTACCAACTTCAAAATGTTCCTTATCCATCCACCACTCATGGGCTTTCAATAGAACCCCCTTTGCGGTAAGCAGTGTTATTCAATGGCCCATTCTCCTAGCTGTTTTTACGACTTCCTTCTCCATTGATGAAATACGATCGAATTTGGCCCACAGGACGGTTAATCCCTTTAGCAGTCGAGTCAACCAAGCCTTTTAATCGATCCTTGCGCTTTACGAATACGAACATCAACCTATTAGTTTCGCTGACTTCCAGTTTCTTCTCAGCATTCTGTAACATGGGCCTCTTCGTTACCTGTTTCTTCTCGCTGTAGATCAACGGGAATACGCCACTGTCACTGAAGTCACCGACGAGTTGCGCTTGCAGCCGACCGTTTTCCAGGAGGCTCATATCACCGCCAACAACTTTCCCTTCATAATTTTGCGCTGAAAATTGACATGATCCCAAAACTTCTACCAAACTTCATTTTTCCGAAAACCAACTTTCTAATGGTTGATCGCCAGATCGAAAGATGCTGATTTCTCGGAACGCTTGCGGTTTCTTTGTACGTTTACCGGTGACGTCCATCCATTTGCCGACCCTGAAATGGAATGAGTGAGAGAAGGAACAGCTCTACTAAGTTGCTAGTCGCATAGAACGGATATGAATAAGACGGCTCAGAAGGGTAGCTCGCGGTGTATGCCGTGTGATGTCGCCGCCTGCGACATGCGACGAAATCGCGCGATTTGTTTGTAAACATTGCAGAGCAAAAGCTTTGCATGAGCTTGCCTGCCGGCGACGGAAAAACTTGTGCGTCGGGCAACTAGACCTACATGCCTTCCCATATTCTACAGAATGGTTCCACAAACTATTTGAAATAGGGCTGGGGTTACAAAAAAAAACAGTAGCAATTTGGGTGGCTCTCCTCTCGCTGCGCTTGTATGTAAATCTGCTATTCTAGAAGCTTGTTTCTCCTTTACCTCCTTTCACACTTTTTTATCCCAAAGAGTTCTTGTTGGGAGATGAGTTGGTACACTTCCATTCCTTTTTTGGCATTTTCTTACTGAAAGAAATTTGGGCAACTCTCTATGTCTCCATCTCCCTCCACCCCAACCACTTTCCTCCCACCACCGCCCTGCCCCCTCCCCCATCCATCTTTTGTCACGTCTTACCTGACAGCAATTCTCTCTTCGGTATCCAGATCGCGTAACTCGATCCATTCCAAGAAATAATCCGGCTCTTCACCTGCTCCATCGGCTTCAAATCGAACTTTCAGTAGATCACCAATTGCGCCGAAGTCCACCTGCAAAATGATTTTCCTGAAATTTCTGGCATTTTTGTTTAGGTTAAGCGGTGCTACTTGCCACTGCTCCACTTCCACCCACCCCAATATCCTCTTTTCTATTTCGAGAAATATGAATTTAGAAGTTTCTAAGAACGTGTAAGCATGTTGAAGCAAGGTGAGCTTATTTCATTATGAGTGGTAAATAGAGATAAGGGAAAGATTGCCTTTACGGAAAATACTCCCCTAAACAAAAATCAAGGAAAACGCGCAACTCCAAAAACAGAATTCGAAGGAACGGCGCATCTCAAAAACGAGTTATCACACATCTCGCATCTCTTCACGCTGTTATTTTTTGCCCTCGAATGCTATCTGCCCTTTTTTCATCAATTCGCTCGATATTATGCCACTCTTAGCAAACTTCGTTACCTGTATCAGTGTAGTGTCGGGTACTGTAGACATGGTTTTATCGTTGTTAACGTGCATCATCGAACTGCCCGTCGTACCGTAGCCGATGATGTTCAAGTTCGATGTCGTGCCACCCGTACCATCTTCCATTCCATTGTGCAGAATGAATTCCCATCGGCCTTCTGAAAACATCGCTATTTCTCTGAGGGTACACGGAGTGTTCCAAAAGTGTCACTCATCGGATTTGGGAAGCTTTACCGTTCAGTTCGACATTTTCTATGATATGGCCCGAATATTACACGAAAAAAAGGCCAGGTTTCAAAAGGGAAATCACAGTTAGCGCACTAACTCTATTACTCATTGCTTATATGGCTTTATTGCTAGATGGTACTAAACAGTTCTAGTTGATTAGTCTGTTGTCCAGTCTATTCTAGTGATGGTTTTGTAAAACGTACGTGATGTCAGCGATTCGTCAGGCACGCTGTTGAGGTAGTAAAAAGCTGACACCTGTAGAGTTCGTTCGATCTTGCCATCAACCTAAAATTAGCCTTTTAAAGATCGATACCTATGGATAGGTGCTCGACTTACCTGACCACTATCGAACCATTTCGAACAGTAGCATACAAATTGACGGCCATCTATCAAATTTTCTGTGATCAGCACGTAGTCGATGAAAATGCCAGCACCTTTAATGAGAAAACTCAAGACGTGTTTTCATAGTGGGGTCATATAAACGAAATGAGAAGCAGCGGGGCTTGGTTTATAATAGCTAGAGAGAGAACAGTGATCCTCGTACAACTATACAATTCATTCATTGGTATGTGAGTCAGGACATGAAGGAAAATGTGTGGCTCTACTTAATAGGCGGGGATGTAATAGAGGTCCGCATACACCTTTGCATGAAGAACGCTTCTCAGTAATAAGCCTTTTGTCACTCCGGTTCCCATAGCTCCAGTCCCGGGACCTCTACACCGCACCTCCACATGACCTTACAGATATGGGTGCAACTTCTCGCTGAGGGGCACAGACGAAAAAAGCGCCGCGCCGCCCCGTGGCCCCTCAGCCACCAACGGCTATTTCTTTTCTGGGCAGTTTAGCGATTCACCGCGCGTGCGATAGTTCTCCTGCGCCGTGACATTCTCTTGCAAAAGGCATGCATCGTAACCATGGCTGCTATCATTCTCCACCTCAGCCATATTGTTCAGATCGACACCTCTGGTTTGCTTCGTAACCAGCTCGAAACTTAACGCAAAGCTTAAGCATAACCAATGTGCAGGTATAAAGCCTTGAACTCTGAATCTTAAGCCATAAGATTAGCTTTGAAGCATGCGACTTCTGTGACCTGATAAGGTAGAACGACATCTCCTAAAAACTCGTCGCGCACGGTGGCGCACCTCTGCGTCTACCTTCCCTGTTAGTAATAAACCCACCGCACCTTGGTTGATACGGCCCACCAGAACTTTCGCAAAATCAATGGAGTGACGGTTTATGTCCATTTCCCGTCATTTGACGGAGCCCAATTCAGAAATTATTACAGCTGGCTAATTGGCTTTTCTTTACGAAGACAAAAACAATTCCCAATTCCCGTTGATAGAGAACAAGTTAAGTGGGAAGAGGAAGCTTGAGAGCGCTTCACATACTGTGTTTAAGCACAGGCTAAATGTGGACGGACGTGCAGGTTGATAACTCTTAAAGCAACAATCCAGGAACGAATTCGCGGGTAAGGACCACCTATAATGACGTTGCAGGTGAGAAGTTGGTCAATGGAGAAAGAAAAAGTAGAAAAAAACGTCGGGCAGGGGCTTAGACAGGGACTCCCCCTGCCGTTTAGGGAGATGGGGGAGACGTGTGTGGACGAGTTGTCCGAACCTGCCGTAGTACATGCGCTCCAATTGCAACTGCTGGCAAATAGCCATGCATGCTTGCAAATACATGCTAATTTGCCAGCAATCGTAATTGAAGTGCGTTAGTTGCGTTCTTATAGAATCGACCTCATACAGCGCGGCGGTCCCGCAACGACCGCTAGTCGAGCACGGACGCTCTGCACAGCGTATGTTGGGCGATCCGCCTCGGTATGAGGTGATCCGCCCCCTCCAAGAGGACTTCGACCCCTTCCAGCGCATTTTAGAGGTAGGTTTTGAACTTAAAGACATTTCCTATAAACTTTAGTTGGGCTGGGGCATGTTTTGACCGCCTAATGACCAAGTAGTTGAAACCCTGCCTGGACTGTTGCTTTAACTGCGATGTCGCGCCCGCTACGCCGCTTTCGGCGTGTCATCGCAGTCCTAATTTTCTGATCCACAACTGCTCTAGCGAAATCACATACCGTAACCTTCTTCTTCATGTCCGATGACCCTTCTAAATTAACATACTGAAATTCGCAGTAATCAAAGGACTGAGTCCGCCGAGCCATACCACTCTCAGCGGCGGTAAAAGAGTCCAATAATGTACTTCCCGCGTCGATGCGCGATTAAAGTGGAGGAAAAGTACCGCGGATATAACCGAACCACTCCCACAATTCCGAACCCGCAAGAACAGCAGGTTATTCCGCCTCCATGAAATCTAAACATTTATAAACCAACTTAACGGCCCCTATATAGTGTTTAATTGATAAGAAAAGATCATAAAGGACGCGGTTCTCTCAAAGGAACTACAATGGTGTAACTACAAGGTTTAATCGTGTTGATAATTTCTCGCTGAGACAGTCATGTCTTCCATTCACCTATCCGGAATACAGATTTGCCATCGCAAACAGTAACAAAGATTTTACCCGAACAAACCGCGAAACCGAACAGGCCCGAGCATCTGCAATCAGATCGACGCGCTCCTATAATGGTCATAGAGCCACTGCCAAAGCTTCGATGGCAGGATGTCTCGCATCTGGGTCAGGGCTCCTCAGGGCCCAGCAGTCATATCGTGTTATATTGAAACAACTGGTCCCTTCTCTCTAACACTGTTACCCACGACGATTCAAGTTCATTGCTTCCCAGTAGAAAATCTAGACAACGCCTACTTTTCACTCGTGGAGATAGTATAACTCAGCCCTGAGCATGAGATTTGTGCAACATCTGAGCCGCAACATTTCTGGACTAAAGATCCCCTTCCGTTTCGGAACCACGCCAACGGCTCTTCCCATGTCACGATAACTCGTACATGGCACTCGCTATACTGAATTGAGGTACGGGACTGATTGACAGAGACCGTTGCCAACTCACTTTCGCCGTTTGCGAAACGCGTTCCACAAGCTTGGTTTTCACGACTTTACTTGTGGATCGCATCTGACAAATGAGGGTACACAGGGAAGTTGCTTTGTATTATCCTCAGACAACGTGTCGCAAATATGCAATGAATCCTGGCACTAAAGTCGGCCTGTCAGCATCCGCAGCAGATAACCAGACAAATTCTCAAGCGAACCAGTCGCAGCAACTTTCTAGCTGCGCAAATCGCGAGTAACATATCCGCTTCCTCAGAACATTTTTCTGAAACGACTGACGTATAGCGATGACTCCCCACCCAGCCTCCACAAATCTGACGATACAAGCTGCCTGGCGAGTGATTGTGGCGAAGCAGTGAGAAACAGAGCATCTGTCTGCATCGTGATCGGCGTGATACTTCTTATGCATGAATAGCACTTTCTTAGCAATGGACCCTGCCGAGCCTCATATATATCAACGCGACAGTCTATCCGCCAGCTTGGTACAATTTCATAAATTTTTAATAGACCCCCTTCTGGATGCGCCTTCGATACAACCTCCTCAGATCTTACTATTCTGGAGACAGTTAACAATGGGGGCGGGAGCCCAACCTATCCCACTATCTTTCCTATCGAGCCCACAGCCTCCCGTCCGTGTAATTATTGACACGCTCCGACCATCACAAATTACGACCCCCTCATTTTTTTCGCGCGACCGAATACGACTCCCTCGTTAACTTTTGTTCCAAACGGACACTAACCCTGCTGTCTTAGACCACATCCCAACACCTCATCAATCGCTTCCAATACGTCACTAAACTCGTCCGCCCCTCAGTTATAAGGGTCCACGTATTCCAAAAGTAGAGTGGTAAATCTGGGCAAAAGCCAGTAGGTGGAAACGGTTCTGAAAGCCGTTTCCAACTACTGGCTTCTGCCCAGATTTACCGCTCTACTTTTGATATAAATAAGGAATCGTTTTCTACGGGCTGTAATGAAGGGGAAAGCAGATAAGGGTCATCAGATCCACCTTTTGGTCTTGCATTAGGATCACTTCGTCTAAGTGTGATTTTTCGCAGCGAACCACATAGGAATTCGGGCTGAGTGCTTCTCAGAGATTACTCGTAGAGATTTTTGTGACATACCAAAAGAACCAAAGGACACGTGTAATAATATGCAGTATTGATTTTACGCACTGAACGCGGCAAATCCACGCGACAAAAACTGATTACAGCTCCTTTTTGTGAGAAAAAAAACACGCAATTTCTCCGACCAATCACATGGAATACCAATAAAAAGGGAAAATCACCTTCTTCGTTGTTTGCGTCTGGAACCGAGGGGGTCGTTTCTTCAGTGACGTCATTCGTCGTCTCAATCACCACTGGCGGCTCTGCAGTGAAGTTTACGGCTAAATCTTGTAACTGGTAATTTACAGCAATAAACGGACGTTTGGAGAACTAATTCTAATGAGCTAAAATATTTCCAAAAGGCTTTACCTGAAGCAGACCGTTTCCGAAAACCAGGGGGCCTGCCCTTGGAAAGAATTCCACGGCAAAAAAGGGGTCTAGTTCAGACAAGGGCTAATGTGTCGCTGCACCGAGTAAGACCAGAGCGGTCGTATTTTGTGATTCTACCGAAGGGTTCATATTTGAAAAAAAGTGGTTCGATTTTGGCGAAGATTGAAGGGATGCTAATTTTAAAAAAAGAGTATCTTTCGAACAAGGTCAGTTGGAAGTGTGCCAGATTGAATGAGATAAAACGACCCAAACGGCACCATGGGGGAGTGCAATGAAATTGAGCGATCGGTAAATCTTGCTCCAGTCTGTTGTGCCAGCTAAGGAAGCTTTCACAGAGGTGATTTCTGTGGTGTAGTGGGTTAAGCACATCGCCTCGAAACCATACGTGATCCTCGTTCAGGTGTTGGCTCAGGCGAGGCGCTCTGACCACCTTAGCTAGTTTTTTGTGGAGCTTCTGCAGTTTCTCCTTCTCATAAGAGCATCCTGCGGCCTATCTCCCGGCAGTCCAGCCCTCCACGAAAATCCAGAGCGGGGCATTTAGGAAAACAGCTTTGCTTTGCTCTGGTTCTGAAAAATGCTTTGGTGTACGCACCCGACAGATTCTCTCAAATTGGATCGGATCTTGAGCTTTTTGAGCTTGGACAACTGTTAGAAAGAATGATGTCAGATGTGCAATTATGAAATGGCCTGAGTACGTATTTACTGCACTTTCAGCGCTAACGATGTTTCCAAAAAGTACAAGGATGAGCACTTCTTTGAGATGCACCACCAGGGCTTCCATCTTTTTAAGCTTGAAAAATTATTATAGGACCACAAGAATTCAAATGCATGAAAACTCTTACTTTTCAAATTTTTCCGAGTGAGATGACCTCGGTACGTGGCTTGGATTTTCGTTGCTGCCTTTGTGCGTTTCTCGAAATCCTCGTCCTCGGCTTTGTTTGGCTGCTCATCGTCCGACGGTAGAATTTCCTCCTGGTCATGATCAACAGGTTGAATAGAGGCCGCTACTGCCGTCTCATCACCATCAGGGTTGTGATCGCCTGCTGGAGGGGCTTCACCATGGTCGTTTTCGACAGCCTGGCCTTCAGTTGGGGCCTCGTCACGATTGCTGTGTTCTTCGTCATCTGACGGAAGAATCTCCTCCTTATCGCTGCCTGCTGTCGCCGGCCTCTCACTATCCGCCGTTGCTGGTACTGTTATAACAGTTGGCAGGAGGAGGTTCCGCTTCGTCTCAGGCTCCTCTCCTTCATCATCGGCTTTTTGATCTTCCTCGTTGTCCGATGGCAAAATTTCTTCTCGATTTGATTGTGTTGTGCGCATTCGAGTGGTTCCAGAAGTACTTGGCGGATGTTCGGCATCGTCTTGTTCCTCTTCCTTATCTATCCGATGGAGCGTCATGCTCTTCTCAGCTGTCGACGTACGCCTCAGCACCTCGTTTTCTGACTCAAGAGTTTCCATTGGGTCGCTATCGTCGTCGTTGATGAAATCGTGCTCGTCATCGTGGTGCTCCATTTTCTCCTGTCTAGCATCTCCGCTTTCCTCTCCGCGCTCGACACAAGACTCCGTCGCTCACCTCCCTCTCCAGAAGTTGAAGGCAGTTCCTCTTCCGAAACTTTCGAATGCGCTTCGGCTTCGTGGCTTCGTGAAGACGACACACTATTCTCTCGTCCACTATCCTGATAACGTGCTGACAGCGAAAGTTCCTCCGAACTCTCATCGTCTTCGGCGATCTGGTGTTTCTCGGCCTCTTGGAGAGTTCTCTCCAGTTCTTCACTAATTGCAAACTCATGTTCCTCGTCCATCTTCGGCGTTTCCGTCAATCGGCTGCTTATCGAGTTGGCCTTCCCTGAGTCAGTGTCGTCTGCTTTATTGATCGTCTTCTCGGTGGCGATCGCTGAAATTAAACAGATAAATTGGTTTTTGCGTAACCTTATGGTTAAAGACCATGCTCGAACGTTTCACTTGAGCAGCTAGCGTTTTATGTTTACCATAGATGGCGCTTCAGTTGGGGTATCTGCGCCAGAAAGGTGAGTGATTGAAGACCGTGGTAAACTAACCAAGATTGCCGTTCAAAGCGACAACCCCGATGAGGTCATGTCAAACAATCCATTCTTTGGGTAGGATAGAACAGCTCGCGAGTATCACAGTTGTGCCGTTGTCGCGGCTCGAAAGTGCGCGACAATGGCGCTAGGGCCTTACAAAGTGAGCTAATGACGGCTAATGTGAGCTAATGGACGAGATACCTCGCGCACATCTCCATGACACGCAACGTGGATTACGACATAGTGGCTAATTCAAATCATGCGAGTTTGTAGCCTCAAGGCAAACCGGCAGACCAAAGTCCAGTCCAAAGCAACTCGTCCGACACGTCCCTCGCTCATTTCAAGGAAAAAGAGGGGAAGCTTCATTTAAGGGCTTCACCAACAAGCTACCAAAGTGGTATGCACCATCCATTAAATTTTATTCAGAACCACAGATGTATTATGTTTGAATCGAGCAATTGCATGAAGAGCCAGGCGATGATCAATTTTAAGATGCTCTTTTGAACATTTTTATTGCCAAGTTAGTCATTCTCAGAGAAAAGGGAAACTCGTTGTATTCGAGTAGAGATGATGATTGACTTTACTATGCGCGTTGAAAAATATAGTTCCCAGAAGCTTCGGCGAATTTTGATTACTCACAAGGAAAGGCCCTCCGGTCGCCTAGGCCACTTGATAAAAAGGATAAAGGATAAAGCATTTGCCGTTGATCAATCCCTTTTTGGGATGCGGCACGCATTCTACTTCCATTTGTACATTCGTAGTGGCGTTTGAATGCGATGTGGCCTATACAATGACTTGCGGGGGCCAGCCGATGTACAAGTCAGTGTTTTTATCCTCCCAGACAAGTCTGGTACCAATTAACCGACCCCGGAGGGATGGAAGGCTTGGTTTGGCCCGGGCGACTCACGACCCAGGATTTGATCCCGGACCGCTCGCGTGGTAGCGTGCCACTTGTCACTACACCACTTCCGCCCGGCCACTTGATGATTGAGATGTATACTCCTGAATGCTCCTTTAATGCACTTGATATGAGGTGTATACTCCTGAATGCGCCTTTGAATGCTGATTTCAAATTTGCCTCCCAAATCTGTTAAGCTATTTTCCGAATACGAATGAGCGCAACGGTGGAGCTCCGGACTCTCATGAAGGAAGACGTGAGATCGTCCCCTTCAGGTGTTAACTCTTTGCTTAAATCGAAATTATTTCGAAAAAGTTTCTCTGCTCTTTTTCTTCATCAATGTTTGTCCGTACCTACCGAAATAATGATTTTACAAGGAACACGCCCCATTTGTTCAGGTTGCGTAGTCATGCGCAAGTGAAACCCAGACGTCATTTTAAACTTATTTCACAGGTATATAGCTATACGCAACCCGACAGAGGACCGATCTCATGAGCACTTGTCCATGAACCCGCATCCTTACCGCTACACTTTATGGCTTCATAATTCTATTTAAAGGATCGTATAGCAGATACGGAAGGCAGATTTGAAATCAGCATTCGAAGGCGTATATAGAATTATAGTCTCATTTAGAATGGCCATGGAGACCTGAAGGCTTTCCTAATGGTATGATTATTGTTTCCATGGAGCTTGTATTGAATTCTCAGTCAACAAAAAAGGAGGTAAAGAATTTAGCATTCTCTTTCAAAGCAGGAAATGAGAACATTATGGTGAATTTGTGTAAAACAACTCTGAGATGGGGGCTTCATTGGGATCAGATTTCAGAGGAATGTCTCATTCACTGCTTGACTCTGGTTCTTGTGAGAAACACAATAATTACTCAAGTTGATCGGATCTAGAATGTATAGACGTGTGATCGTGCCCCTCACCATTTACCACCCCCACCCCTGAAAATGGTCTCGAAAGTCCCCATCCTTTCCGATATCTTTATCTTTATCTTCATCAGTTGCCAGAGAAGTAGAAATAAATGTAGTAATGTGACGTATTAAAAACAATCAACTGACATATAAATTAAATTAGAAAGCGGGAAAAAGGGAGAAATAAGAAAAAATTGGAAGCAACAAAAACAACTTAATCAAGGGCACCGAAATGACGATTGAGGCACTT